TGCTCGCCAGCTCCTTGAGTACCCTGGGGTGTAGATTGTCAGGGCTGGCTGACTTGAAGGTATCCATCTTCTCAAGGTGTTCCTTCACGAGGTCAGCATTAATGGAGGGCAGGGGATCTCCCTCACCCGGACCTCCCTGTCCCGTGGTGGGCATGGGCATCCCATGGGACTGATCAAAGACTGGTGCAAAGTACCCACTTAATAGGTTGTTTTTTTCCTGGGCATCAGTTGCCCCATCTGGTTCAGCAGGGGTCCAATGTTGCCCTTGCTTTTCCTCCGGCTCCCCACATATCTGAAAAAGGACTTTTTATTGTTCTTGATGCTCGAAGCTAGTTGGAGTTCAGTTGCAGCCTTGGCTTTCCTGGTTTGCTCCCTGCAGGACCGGACCAGTACAGAATATTCCTCCTTGGAGGTAACACTTCTTGTCAAACAGGACTCACTCAGCTTTAATTGGGCAAGCCTTGAATGATCTGGGAGACCCTCCTGTATCTAGTGTGTCATGTATTGCAATGCAAAAAGCAGTTCAGTTTCCATATCCCAGAAGCATAAACTACCAAGGAGTTATAAGAACTGCAAATGTTTTTAACTCGTTAATTTGCAGGACAAAGAAGTGGCTGTTTAATAAGTTGCACCAATGCCAGACCAGAAAGAAGGAAGAGCTGAACTGACATCTGAGACACAGTGAACAGTCCATAAATTGAGTCTCTCATGACCTGGCAGCACACTCAAGCTAGAGGAATGACTAGCGATAAAACTGCCCTTTGTTTTTCTGCTGTAGGCCAAGTTTGCTGATTGTACATGGAGAGTGAAATCTCAACTTTTTAGCTAAGAATTTGGTGAAAAAATGCAGGTATTTCTAGCTGATCAGCAGTGGAACATAGGAGAAGACAGAACATGTTTAAGTTCTTTTGAATACATGTATAAATCTTGAGACTGGGACAATGGGCAGACAGGTCCAATGTACTGCTGAAGCAAATAAAATCTCATACTACATACTGGAAGTGAAAAAAGCAGGAAGATGGACTGAACTGGGGGAAACTATAAAGGGAAGGCAGCAACAGAGTTAGCTAAATCAGACTGGACCAGTCTGGTATATTGTCCCTGGCACACACCAAGACTAGAGGGTTCTGGAGTAAGTTTCACCTACTGAAGTGCTCAGAATATTGTACAATGGAGGTGGAGACACACCACTCCTGTCATCAGGCTATCATGTGTTTAGCTATGAAGCTTACAGTTAAAGTTCAAAAATGGCTCAGCCCTTTTCAAAACCCAGTTATAGTCCCATGCATTGATCTCACATGGAAGGTAGTGCAGACTGGTGATAAGATGGGCTGTTCTTATGATGTAGAACATTTGCAAAACACTAAATAAAATCTTTGTATCAAAATGAACAGGAGCCAGCTAATCTGAAATTGGTAACCAACAGGCAGCTAACACTTTGATTACTGAGTGAATGCCACCTAACATGAAAGGGTGCAACATGAGTTACCTGGTCAGAACAGTACAAGAACAAATGCTTGGGCAGCTCTGTGTAATTCAACCAGAAGTGCACAAACTAACTCTGAGCCCTAGCAGATCTCAGTAACCCAGGGATTAGGGACTTCCAGGGCATGCTGCAAGACCTCTGTTTACTCTAAAGTGGGCTGAAGGTGAAGGGCATAGATCTTCCAATCACTAACTCTATCAGCTACTGATTAAGAGGATGGTTTAAATTTTGCTGGTCTTGGGATCGTTGTTTTGGAGACCTAATTCTGTTACTAAAGGGGAAGCACAGCCCCAGGTTCTACCACTTCTGACAAGTGTCAAAGTGAAAACTCAGAACAAAGAAGTCTTTAGGCTGACCAATGGAGATGGTATTTGATTGAAGTACGATAACTTTTCTTTTCTCTATTCTACAGAATTACCAGTGAAATGCATACAGTGGAACACCCTACAATAACAAGTTAATATAAACCCAGGGGACAGTTTGGGACTCTACAAGCTTTTCTCAACTGACAGCTTGTCTTACTGCAAATCTGAAAGACTTGTTACTGCTCTGTACTACCACATCAGTGATGTTTTAAGTTCTGAAGGCTGGGTCTAATTTATTATTATATAGTATAAAGTTATGCAGCAAATTGACCCCTCCCCAAACTAAAAGTGTTTACTGTCCTTTATTTTCCAAATACTAAGGTAGTCTGCATCTTATGCCTTCAAAACCACAAGTGCCATGTGTTAACTGACATTTCCTCAGTTCACATTTAATATCAGGAACTCATTCATGTTAAATTTAGTTTGAGTCAACCCTCAGTATTTACCTACCTGTTGCAGTGACCAGAGAAAGCAGAAATTCTTATTTAGCAAACAGCTGTTGAGTTACCTGCATAATGGCACTGAACTGTGCTTCATTCTCCATTTGTTCCTCTGCTATTCCTCTCTGAACACTGGCCAAAACATTAGATTTGAAGAAGTACCGCCAATTATGATGCAGGACCCGAAAAAGCAACTCAAAAAGTTCAGCTTTCACATCAGGAGATGAGCGCTAGAGGGGAGAAGAAAAAAAAGTTACAACAGATTCCTGGCTGACATGAAAACTATTTCAACAGACTCCACTGCCAAGAACTCTTCCATGTAACATGGCAAGTGGCCGTTCAGGGCAGAACTCGAGGCAAGACGTGCCATTAGATAGCATGAAAGTATTTTCTTCTAGTGCATAGAATCATAGAATAGTAGGACCAGAAGGGACCTGTAAGATCAAGTCTGGTTCTCTGCCATGGGCGGGAGGTAGTTGGGCTCAAATGAGCTCAACGAGATACTTGTTTCCCTCCTCTTGAACACCTCCAGGGATGGTGACTACTGCCACCTCTGCTGGGAGTGTGTTCCAGATTCTAGATACCCTTATGGAAATGAAGTTTTTCCTTCTGTCCAGCCTAAATTTTTCCTCAACTAGCTTGTGCCCACTGGACCTTGTCCTCCCAAGGGGTGCCTTTCTGAAGAGTTGCTCCCCTAGATCTTGGTGTTCATCCCGATGTACTTGTAGATGGCTATTTAGTCACCTCTCAGTCTTCTCTTACTCAGACCGAACAAACCCAGTTCCTGGAGTCTCTCCTCATAGGGCCTATCCTCCAGGCCCCTGATCATATGGGTGGCCCTTCTCTGTACCCTTTCAAGCTTATCCACATCCTTGAAGTGCAGTGCCCAGAACTGGACACAGTACTCCAGCTGTAGCCTCACCAATGCCAAAAAGGGGGAGGAGCACCTCTCTGAATATATTTGCAATGCATCAGCTGATACATACCAGAGCTCTATTTGCCCTGCTAGCAATTTCATCACACTGATGGCTCATATTCATCCTCTGGTCATTTGTCACCCCTAGGTCCCTTTCAGATGCAGTGTCAGCCAGGGGACCACCCCTCATCATACAGTTATGATAAGGGTTCTTCCTACCCAGATGAAGGACCTAGCACTTGTCCTTACTGAACCTCATCTGATTCCATTCAGCCCATAGGACCAGTCTGTCCAGGTCATTCTGGATCCTTTCCCTATCCCTCAGATGTTCCTGCACTTCCCCACAGCTTGGAGTCATCTGCAAACATAATCATTGTGCTTTCCACTCCCTCATGCAAGTCATTGATAAAGATGTTAAAGAGCATGGGCCCAAGCACTGATCCCTGGGGGACACCACTCGAGACAGCCCTCCAAGATGAGACCATCCCATCAATTACAACTCGCTGGGATTGGCCTCTGAGCCAGCTGCCAACCCACCTTGCTGCAGACTGGTCTACGCCAGTACCCTCTAACTTGAGAGAAACTCAAGGGAAACAGTATTAAAGGCTTTGCTGAAGTCTAGGTAGATGATGTAAATCACGTCCTATATCCAGCTGGTTAGTTACCTGGTCACAGAAGGACACCAGGTTTGTTAGGCATGACTTTCCCTCAACAAAGCTATGCTGGTTGTTTCTTAATATGCCACCAGTTACAAGCCTGTGGAACCCAATATCCACATGGGCCATGGAAAAAAAAAACTGCCACAAAAATTATGATTCCTGAAGTTCTGCTTTGAACATATCCACAAATTTAGCTGTTACAGCTACTTGGCAATAACCTCAGCCTCTGCCCATATACAGTCAGCATCTAACCTGGTGACTTCAACTGAGGTCATATGAAAAGAAGGAATTTCTGTTCTCTTCCCACTCAAAGTACCACTTTGCGTAGGAGTTGTCCTACCTCTGCAATGATGGGATAGACCTGCTCCATGCACAGTGAGATGATGCTGGGTAAGAAAGGCTTGAACACTTGGCCTGGCTCTTGAACTACTACTTGTAGTATCTTCAGAAACTTCTCAACCACTCGACAGCCAGTACTGCCTTCATGGAGAATGCTCTCTGCTAACTGCTCTCTATTAAAAAAAAGGAGGGGGGGGGGAAGAGTCATTTGCATACAGGCCTTCTTGAAAGTCAGTCAGAAGGAGACGTAAAGTTTACCTGAACTGAATTTAAAACATCTGAATATAGCTAGATGAGTGCAATAAGTCAGGGGTTCCCAATCTTTTTTATGCTGAGGACCAGCAAACTGCACACTGGAAGGGACCGTGGACCAGAAGTGACAGGCATACTGTGGGTCCACAGTGTGCCAGTCTCTTCCAGTCTGTAGCTTGCTGGTGCGCAATTTGCCAGTCTGTGGTCACTTTCAGTCCACGGCAGTCAACTCTCATGTGGACCGGCAGCCAACCCTTCACGGTCCAGTACCGGGCTGCAGCCCGGGGGTTGGGTACCACTGCAGTAAGTCTCAGGAGAGGAGGGTCTATAACCAAGGAGCAAAATAAAACACCCCAAGCTTCCATAGACTTCACACACTTTGGGCACAAAACCATCTGCTAATCCAGACCTTAAATAACCGTAAAGAAGGGGCATGCACACCTGCAGTACACTGCATCATGCTTGATGGGTTTCTTAGACAACAGCTTTGGCATTTACTTAATGCAGTTCAAACCATCAGATTCCAGACTTCATGGTAATAAATAGTGGGCAATCATTTTGCACCCATCCAACATAAGTCACTATGGAATAGTACCTGGGAAACCTATCTTTCTCTGAACCAGGCACCAGAGCTACTTAATGGTCATAGGGCAGGTGCAGTACACAGCTGCTTAGAAAGGGGCATTCCTTCAAAGAAATAGAACTTCCCAATCTGGAGAGGTCCAGGGAGGAGAGTCATTCCTGAACACGTCTTACCTCTCTGAATTTCAGACAATAAATGCTGCTACCACCTATTTACAAGGAGCATGAACATTTGATACACAATGGCTTTTTGAGCAGTTTACTTAAAATTACATTGGATTTCACATATTTTTCCCCTCTCCCCCCAACTGATTTAGTCTCTGCACAAGGAAAAAAACTGCAGTACTTTGAGAAGGTTGAAAATTAACAAACACACTTGGACACTAGACAATTGAGAATTTTTACTGCATGAGCAGCTTACTGAAATAGAACAGCTCTCTGTCAGGGACCAGAAAAAAAACTTCTCATCAACAGGAGACAGATGAATTGATAGGTGTGACAAAGTACCTGGTGAACATGTTTAGGAAGGTCTGTATGATCTGCTCAGTGAAAGGCACTCCCATCTGTACCCTCAATCCTTGAAACAGAGTCAGGAAGAAGCTCAGCATCTCATCAGTAACATCTACAACAGCAACGACAAGGTCAAGAGAAGGTGTTAAGAAGCATAGCATTAAGGCACTATAAAAATGCTCATTTCGTTAGTGATTTGCTCCTCTTATGCTGGATTCTCCTTTATCACTTGATGCTGGGATTTACCACGATGGTTCCCAGCACAAATAAGACTTACAGCTGGTGCCAAAGATTTAAAAAGACTATCCCACCGGGTCCAACACCTGTGGCAGAGAGGCAAGTTGGAATAGCCATTATGCATTCAGCCAGCACCACCAAAGATGACAGCACTAACAACAGTTTATACCCTTGCTCACTATAAAAAAAGTGGCAGTTGCAGGGCCAGGGAACTGTTAACCTGTCTCCTAGCACCTCCTCTTGCAGCAGGTCTGCCCCTGCCCTGCTCTGAGGCTTGATCCTTTTGTCTCCATTCGGACACCCAGGAGTAAATGATCAAGTATGCCTCTGGGGATAGGGCTTAATTCGTGGCCTGCCTGCCAAAATAGTTGGCCATCACTGGCTTAGACCAAGCCCTGGTAGTTCAAAGGTCAACAGGAAGTAACATGAGATCAGGAGTTATATGGGTTGGAGGTGGAGAAGAAGAGACATAATATAATTTGTTTCTTGTAAAAATTAAAGACAGCCTGCTGACTTCAGAGGTAATTTCCAACACATGGTTGTGTGCTTAAATGATTAGCATTGCAGAGTTGAACAGTTTAGTGCTAGTACCAACGCACTGGATTGGGTATCCATATTACGGCTGTCGCTTTTCAATTCCTTCATTGCACATGACTCTACAGATTATGTCAGTCTAGGAGCCCGCTTACACCAAAGGTGCCTTTGCACTGTCAGCTAGCTGTTCACCATATAGCAATGGCCTGGATTAAGGACACTAGCTTACCCAACTGGATGCTGTTCGTATTAAAAATTTTCCCTTCATCTAATCTTTTCCCTCACCCAGTTTCCTACTTCTCTATATGTGCATGGCTCTTGGCTATGTCTAGGGTACCATTTCATATGCTCCTGCTTTGTTGCAGAAGCTGCCACCTGTCTTTTGCAACACAGCCCTCAATGGCTTTTCTTGATGCCCTTGTACTTTGGCACCCCTTGACCTTTCAGCTGCCTTAGTGTAATATAAACCAAGCTAATTAAAATCAACTGGGGTCCAGCTGAAGACCAGACAGGCAAACAAGGTTCTTCAAGCTGCCCTTAAAACAGGCCCAAATCTTGCAGTCTTAGTAGGACTATGCCTTTAACATTCTGAAGACAATGGTATATACCAGACAAAATATTTTACAGCCAGACAGCATATTTGAAATCAAAAAACATTTTTCACTCATGAACACCTCAGCTAGTTTGAAATGCCCTTCATGACTACAGTGCATCTGTTAAGGGACAGCAAAAATGAAAGTCGCTGGAATGTTGTGGATTTGGTATACTGCAGACCTCTACAGCTATGTCCTGAACAGATGGCAGAACAGCCATTTAAGCAAAGAACATTTCCTGCTGAATGTTCTCCAATCCTTTTCTGATCCAGGATACAGCCAAACCTACAACTTCCCGAATAAAGAGATACCAGCAATATGAATTTGTGTTCCACTTAAGCAAAGCAAATCCAAGCACTTCATGCACATAGATTGTGTGTTGATGGACCTTGGAATTTGCCAGTATATCATAAAAGCTACTCACAGCATTAAAGCCTGCCCTATGGTTATACCTGACTGATGAATGAAAGCTGGGAAGAGGGCTAGCGAGACCTGGACAGACTCCTGCAGTGACTGATAACAGATCTGTCGTGACTTGGTAGACTCTCCAGAAATACTCTCCACAATATCTTCCAAGACACTTAGTGTCTGATGGATGATCACTTTGGCTGCAAATCAAGATGGAGAAAAATTATGACATTTCTCAGGACTTCATCTTTTAAAGTCGGGGGGAATGAGGCAAAAGTTATTCATTTGTATTAATAGTGGCTAAGCCCTAGAATACTTTTCAGAGATGAGAGAACTACATTATAAATCAAGTTCCCAATTCAAGAAGATGCTTGGGTGCCTAATTTAAAGATACACACACACACACACACACACACACACACACACACTCTCTCTCACTGAAGTCACTACTCACATGCTTAGCTTAGTATGTTTAAGCATCTTTTTTCAAATCAGTGCTCAAATGGATACTGGCTTCTATTAAGAGGCAAGGACTAGGAGTGGGGGAAGCGATTCTTTTAGATGCACTGCTGGTTAAAATAAGGCCAGACAAGGGAACTGAACAAACATATTGGGGGGCAGTGTGATACCTGGGGTTAATTTTGAGTTCATGAAAACAACATCAGGAATAAGATTTGCAAAGAAGCACTATGTAAATGCCACAGTGAGGAGAGTGCAAGCTACCTGAAACTATAGAGCAATTTTCTAATGTTACCCTTTACCCTTAAGGATCTTTAGCCCACCCTTCAATACACCTCTCTCATCTCTTAAATATAAGCCCATATCATCCGAATGAGCTAGGTTGGAGCCCCTGTTGCTACTGCAGCTGTAAGCGATGAAGGAGTTTCAGATATTTCTTAGTAGAACGATCCTCAAACCAAAAGCCATGAAAACTTGCATAGAAACTTTTTAGCTAGCAGGGACCAGGATGTCTCAAACTTGCTCTTCAAGGATATTTGAGATTGAGGCTTAAGAGAAAACAAAAGTTTCTTCAAGATACTGTCACTTTCATAGGTATAATCTTTGGCAACACTGCTTTCAATCTAGATATTTAACATAATAGCATAAGGACACCGGGTGTTGGTTGTAGCCACGTTGCCGCTTGCCTGTGGGACCGCCTGTGCCAGCGGTGACTGCCCTGCATACAAAACCTCCCACTGTTGCCACAGAGCCGTGATTGGAGCTGTGTGGCTGGCGGCAGAGATGGGAACGGCTGCATGCCACAGTTGGTATAACTGCTGCTATCCTTTTTTCTCAAAAAAGTCACCAAACACAAGCTTACCAGGAAGTACAGTTATTGGAACAAATGTTTAATAAGGCCTTCTCATCAATGGTTGCATCAATTGCTAAAAGAGACAGAAGTGCTATATTAGAGACCTAAGCACTTACTGTCTTCCAGCTGCACTTTCCTCTGTGGTAGGATGGTGTTGGATTTTAGTTGGCGGTATTCCCTTGTGAGGGCAGAGATTAGGCTGGTGTGGTTGGTTGAACGAACTGCCCACTGCTGTTCACACTCTGGGAGATTTGGCCATGGCAGCAACAACACATTTGAAAGTGCTCTGCAGACCAGTACCTGAGCCTGGAAGCAAAGAGACACTAAGCTTTGGTACAACAGAGCTGTAAAGGACCTGTTGCTCACTTTATGCTGGAGTGCAACTCTACCCTAGGAGATCTTACAGTTGTCAAATAAGAAAAAGTTTTAACCAGAGAAGTTGAACTCAACTGAAATATAACTATCCTGCAAACTAGAAAAGTACAATTAGATAAGGCTTCAGCCTCCAACTGAGAACTGAGTTTGGCTCTCAACTCTACTACACATCTTCTGCAGGACCCTCAGCAATTCAATCTGTGCTTTAGTACTGTATCTGTAAAATAAGAACAACATTACTTTTCTGCCACCCCATCTTGTTTATGCCATTAGCTCTTAAGGACTGATGTACATCATGTTTGTCCAGTCCTGACAAGATCCTGGTCTCTAAAAGGTCTTTAAATATTCACTTTGTATTACAGTAGTGCTTAAGCTGCAAATACAAAAGGCCTCATGAAGAATCTACATTGAGGTATCCATCCCATATGTCAGAGGTAGCACTGGGCTATACAATTTCAAGCTCTGGCCAGCTTAGAAAAGGCAGGAGTCACATTACAGGAAATTAAGATGAAATTACATGAGATTCAAAATTCCATTCTTCTCCCCATTTAACATTGAAAACAAAAGGCCACTGACAGCCAAATCACTTGGATTTCTGTGCACAATGATTAAGGAATCCAGGAGTAACAATGATCTTTCCCTGAAACTACTGTACCCCAATAGTAAGAGCTGTGGCACTTGTTTCCCCAGTCACCCAAATCCCATATTTGCATTAAGCATCAAACATCACCTTATCAGGAAGCCGCTGAGCAGAGGTGTCTGTGATCCGGTTGAACACCTTCTGGACTGCTGGAATACTAATCAAAAACACAGGCCGCACTGTGGTGGCTAAAGAAACTAACAAGTGGCATGAAGACAGCAGCAACTTCTCCTGCACCTGAAATAGAACATGCACATGTCCAGGATCTACCATAACTTAATGCCAAGACAAAAGAACAGATTCTCTAGGACACAGGACTAGTTTTCAAATGTACAGATCCTTCATGACAGAAACAAGTCACTACAACAAACATGTACAGAAACTTGCACAATTCAGCACTTAGTAGCCTAAAAATCAGCATGCAGATTAGCCCCTTAATACGGATAACAGAGACTTCTCCACTCTTAGAATGGAGACAGACATGACATATGAAGTGCTTTAAAAGGCATATGAACTTTGAAGTGCTCCAAAATTGAAGCGTTTCAGCTAGATTTACAGCCCCCTGCCATGCCTCTTAACAGGAGCATTTCAAAATTGCCACAATGCATATAGTGGCATGCTCTCTCCAGTCAGGGGGCATAAGAAAGAGGTTCTGCATCCTGTGGATCTGCTACACCCCCTGTCCCATCCAAGGGCGGGGGGAAGTGAGTACAGCACTGTGAATGAACACACTGTCTTGTGCACTCTCCCAGAGTGCCCCTCCATACTTTTCCTAGTTTCAGAGGCGCAGTGTCAGAACACCTCTGCACCCATTTCCCAAGGGCTGCTGTGCTCTGACCCTCTCTTCCTTGGAGGCAACAGTCAGCAAACACTCTCTTAGGTATTCAAATCTGCTCTCCCAAAACACACTCCTCTCCCCAGAGCCAGGAGCAGCATGAGGCCTTGGAGACCCTGGAACCAGGAGACCAAAGGGCCCGTGGAGCAGGGAATCACTGTGGAGGACCAAGCCCTTCTTCTGCCATGCTCTGTGGAGCTTGCATACATAACAGGGAGCACAAATTTTAAAGCACTTGTGAAAATTAGTTGTTTTATACCAGGTTATTTTTTGGAGCATTTCAAAGCGTGTGTACATCTGTTTATTCATCCCTTGAAGAACTTCAAGGTCTGTCCAGGATCTCAGATTAAAGGAGCCAAAAAATAATTAGACCTCTGTTACTAAGCCTTTCCTAACAGGCTGCTCTTGCAGCAATTGGCTGCCCTTTATCTCTATCATGCTACTGAATGCTATTTTTTTTTTTTTTAATTGATGACAAACTTCCACTACACCTCACATAAGATATCACCATGGCCCTGAGAGGTAGACAAATGTACTGTATTGACACATTTAATCTCCCTTCCAGATTCATCCATCCTGAGGACTAGCCTGCAAAATCCACAGAGGAAGAGTGAGGTCTCTTGAGAATGCCACATGCCCACTCACATAGAACCCTGGATGTTAGTTTTAGGGTATATCTAGTTTCTTACAGCATCATTAAGCCATTCTGATGAAGATACCTTCGAGCTGATGAGTGGAATAATTGCTTCCAGGGCAGTGGAGACTAGAGAGATGAACTGCTCAGAATTCTGTCGATGGACTTCACTGTAGAACTGTGCTAGCCAATGAGAGTAAGCCTGCAATGCTGCCAGCGACTGAGCATGGCTAGGAGGAGAAACCAAAATATAATATACAGATGATAAAGAGCATTCCAGTAATACAACAATAGGATTGTAGAAGTCCTAAATACAGCATATATCCCTGAGGGGGTACTAGGGAAGGGATTGCTCACCTTCATTGAAAGCTGTCACAAGGTTTCCCATTATAAGACAAACTACCTCTGTCACGTTGGAAGTTTCACACATGCACAAGAGTTTTTTCTAAAAAGTTTGAAGCAAACTGGACTACACTAATGTAGACAAGCTGGGAGGCTACACTTTTAAAAGATTTCTGCTAACTTCTTTGACATGAAATCAAGCTGAGAGTTTATGTCATTAAAATTGTGCACTGCTATATCTACTTAACTGGGATCTCTGCATACATTTGGAAAAGTTGTTTTTGTTTTATTTTCAGAGTGCACATTAGCATTACATGCAGTTTATGCTAACATTTGAAATTCTGGAGTACTTCCTCCTGCTGTGGCTGTCACCAGTCAGGCAGGGAGGTGAGAACAAACAAGCAATCTTTTTTTGTTTTGTTTTTTAAGATGGGAGAATAGCAACAGGAACTTGGCTCTTGCAGTCTGCATGTCACTCTCAAATCAGCCAGTTCCACTGTAAGTGCCCCATGTCCACATAGCTTTCTGTTGGATGTGGGGAAAGAAGAGAGAGAAGCATGCTGGGTAGCTGACTATAGCTTGGTCTTACACAGATTGCAAACTCTTCAGGGCTTTCATAACCGAACAACACATTTTAGAAAAAGCCAGGGAAATTCTCAAGAAAGGGATTTTCATCTTTAATTTCCTTAGGTAAGTGTTACTTGCAGGGATGGGAGCCCTTCAGGAACATTCATGTTCATTCAACACTTCTCAGCCAAGCATTAGAGAACCCAGAAATTCAAAACAGAGGCTATACTTAAAACATGTGAAAGTATAGAAATACTTGTCTGCAGGTTCTGTCCACCTCAACTCTACTCTCTATCACTGCTCACAGGATTATCACACCCAAGGATTAACAATTCAGTCAATGGAAACCAGGAATAAAATGCTGCTTTTGTCTTGATTACTTTAAACTTCAGGTGTGTCAAAATGAATTGGGTATAAGTGGACTCTTTGGCTACTCCTCAAATACAATAGATCAGGATGACCCTGAAGTTAGGAAGGTCAGGTAAAATCATCTACTGGATTGATACTGATTTTTTATTATTTGTCTCAATGCCACAGAAAGAGCCATAGGTCTCACCAATAACAGTAAAAGGAAAGAAGGCTGAGATGCAAGTTATTTCCCTCTGTTACTGAAGTAGTAAAAGTATCCATCTTCAACTGATGTCAGACTAAGGCATTATGTATTTGTTTGGACTGACAGGAGGATTAGACAATGGATAGCAACAGAATTAAAATGCAAACCAACCAACAACTCAGAAGAATTCTAGTCTGCCAGAGGTGCCACGGAAAGGGACAAAAGGTGTATTTAAGGTAAGAGGTAGGCTCAGATTGAAAGTGATACTATTATTCCAAAGTGAATAATATTTGCAAAGAGATTCAAGGAACCATAATGATGAAATGAGTTACCAATAGGGATTTTCAGGAGTTTGATATGCATACGGAATCACAAAGCAAAGGGCTCATCTCAAGCACTTTTAAGACCATGCTTAAACCCTGCTCACAAAATGCCAGCTTGCAGGAAATAAAGCCTTGTCCAACACAAGGCTATTCTGGACAGAAACCTTTACAGGCCAAAGTGGAATGCTACTTTAAAATGGCACTAAAGCTCTACATTTAACATCAACTCTGGCATCAAACTGTTTCATTTTGTAGCTTAAAATAGGCTTGCAGCTTAAAGGCACATACTTTGTGACTCAGTAAAGCCGTGTTTTGGCTTTTGTATGGCAACCAGTAAGTGACTGAGGGCTCAAATTCCATCCTGTGTAATATGAAATGCAAGTACATTACCTTCTGTGGGACTGCAAAATTTACCTCTGGAATTCTAACTACTAGGTTAAAAGTTCTGATATAAAGTTTGTTACTACTCCCAAGAACCCAGCTCATTTTCACATAGGTACACACAGGCTTTGTAGAAAATGTTATAGTACCTGACTGCTGTGTCACTCAATATAGACAGTAGGTACAAAGCTGGTATATTCAATAAGATGCCACCATTTTGCTGACTCTAAGAGCCTTGAGCTTCCAGATGGTCAGTATAGAAGGTGCTGTGGCCTGTAATTTTTATTTGATTCATATGCAACCCGCTCCAACAAAGGCTCAGGATGGCTTACAGCAAAGACTAGGATGACTTCTTTTCTCCAACTTTAATTATCTTTTTCTTAAACTAAAATCTCATTATGTGAATGGCACTGGCAGCCAGGTTAAGAGCATAAATTTGAGATAGGCAAGTTAGCTTTGACCTTGGGCCAATTTCAAGAAAACTTCTTTGCATTTAGCCACTGGTAGGCATTTCACATATGGTCTAGAAATTAAGTGGAGACAAAACACAAATCCTAGCTACTTGAGGACCTTCTCCCAGAGGAAAGACATACGGGACCTGAATTTAGTTACTATCTTACTTGCACTCATGAGTTTTGACACTACTAGGAGTAATATATGTAGAACCTTTCAAAAGCCTGCAATTTTGTTATGGGTTTTGTAGTAGGTCTCATACTTACACATCAATAAGGTCAGGTTTCAATACAGATGGCACAGCTGTTTCTATGTTGTACAGTTTTATCTGGGACCCATACAGCGTTACCTTGACCAACCTGCCAAAGAAGCAGCACATCAGTGGGCACATAAAAAGACTGTAAAATATATTCTTGTACATTTCTGCAGTTTATCTGAATATGGTGTTTGGCAAGACTGCACACTGACCAAGTATTGATGCAGACACGCAAGACCTACATTAAACACAAAAGGGCCATTTGTTTGTGGTGCAAGAAACCATACAGTGTATTTTTACAAACAGATGCAGGACTTTTTAAATTGTAGAATTTGAAAAATATATACAAATGATCACTGGTTATACATGAGCTTATTTAGAATTTAGAAAGAATAATCAAATGAAAGACTGATTTTTGGCTGTTACAGATATCTCTATCTGAATAAGGAGTCTCCTAGAAATTTTGTTTTGAGAAATGCATAGATCTGACTGTCTTGTCTCATATGAGAAACATAACTGTAGCTACACCAGAGAAGTGGAATCCTGGAATTCCTGGTGACTGCTGAAGTGTTCTGAACTGATTTTTGCTTAACTCAAACATTAGGAACTTCAAGGTATACAAGATGGGAGATCTACTCAAGGATTCTAGACTGATAAAAGAAATAGCCAATAATGCTTGGCACACTGGCTTTGAGTTATCTGTGCCATGGTTTTAATGGCATGTAACTTTAGGCAGAAATAAGTTTGCTCCTGGAGCAGTGGCACACTTTGAAATGCCTTTTAGGATTTCCCAGGTATTTGTGGAGGGATCATAAAGTTCTTTCCCAATGCAATGGCCTTTTGCCTACCTCTCCACTACTGTAAGGGCATCATTGAATCTGGCAGCAAACACATCCCCAATAAAGTACTCAGCTAAACGGCCAACAGCCTGCAGCAAGGAGCTAAGGTCTCTCAAAGAGCAGTGTAAACGCCGGCAGTCATTTTCTGCAGTGATATTCAGTCTATGACCTGAAATGACATTGTGGTCCATTAGTGGTGAAGCAAGTAAAAAGTTGAGTATAGATATTGTTTTGCTGTGCTGTTAATCATCGATTATAATGCAGGCAGCATGGAGTCCTTTTTCTCACAAAAGTTTTAAAATACAAAACGTGTAGCCTTATATCTGTAATAAATACGCTCTTTGAGATGAGAAACCTAATTATGGAGCTACAGGAAATGCAGAGTTTACTCTAATTACATTACACACATTCTCTTTAATTTACCATTCTTTCCAGTGGATCTCAATTCACTTCTTTCATTTGGATGGTGCTCAGGGCTGAAACTGAATAAAGCTATTTAAAGGGTTCAGCAGATGCCCACTCATTTGTAACGCCCTTTTGAAAAAGGCTGACAATCTTTCCCACCCATTTTAGCCTTTTGCATATATATTTTGCTTTGCTTGGAATTAAGCTGAAATTCAAAGGCCTTTTCTGGTTAATGTTGACATAAAAAAAGGATGATCTCAGTTCTGGGAGTAAAAGGCAATTAATTCAAGCTCCCTCTGCTGGTTCACTGCAGAGCAAGAGTTCAAAATTCTTAGAAAAATAGTGACAGACACATTTGTAACTTGAGTGCATTTGCTTCTGAATTAATTCAATGTGTGGCTGACTTCACATCTTCCAGATAATTTAAAATTCAGAAAGTTATGTGCATCTTCTCTGATGCTCAATTGCCGATTAGTTTGTGTAAATATATACATTATCTATGCACTTCTCAGCAGTGCAGTGTACCCCTCCCAAATCAGAGCCCTATTACATAATAAATGCATGCTGCACATGTAGACCGAGGACAATGATAGAAAACAAGCTCCTTGCTTTTCATGTAATCCTTTTATTCATGTCTCAGGACTGAAGTAAATAATTAGCATCGGTTTTACAACATTTCAAGATGCAAAACCTTTAAGCCAGCACCACATTGTATAATCCTGAAATTGTACTTAAATCTAAAGTGTCCATTCCCAACCACCCCCAACAACTGGAAAACCAGTTCCAGAAAAACTTATCATTACACACCACTGACTATAGCCATCTGCCAGCAGGTGTGCATTAGTTTAAAGGCAAACTGTGATTATAAACAGGGAGTAGAACACAAGCCTGAAATGGCAAATATTTTGGCTGAAACCTGTCTACACAATGCATGACCCTACTCTTCTGACCCATTAGGGTGGCCAGAGCTGCCTGAAAAAACACCCAAATACCTGAGAAGGGGGCCAGGCATTCAACAAATAAAACAGCTTAAAAATAAAGAGGTTTGCTGTCAGCATGCAACACAGATTCAGAGAATCTGTAGTCTGTATATTTTGTATTTTAGGTTGTTTGCAACTTACGTGATGTCTTAACATATACCTATGGTGATATTTGAGAGAGAACAGATTCTACTACCTGTCTTAATATGCCAATTAAAACTTCTGGTATTTACTAAAGCAAGCGTGCCAAACATACACCCCACAGCGACCAGATCTGACCCACTGGAATTTTAGCCACAGCCGCCAGCAGTTAATACTGTCACTGCTCAGTTCTGTTGCCATGGCTGCTGGAGCAGCAGCATCAGTGGGCCCAGCTGCCAGGGGGGCTGAATGGTGCTGCGTAATTTCATGTTTTCAGTTGCTGCTGGCAACTAAATTCAGCAGCACTCACCCCCTGGCTGCTGGCCAGGCTGACACTGCAGGTCTAACAGCTGCAGCTAGAAGGCCCGTGTCCTGGATCCAGTCTGCAAGGCAAAATGAGTTTGATACTCTGGGCCTAAAGAGTTAAAAACTTGTATCCCATGCTTGTGTATGCTAAATACTCTTTCCCTTTAAGTCTCAATAAAATTCAATATTTCTCCTTTTTCCTCAGTTATTAGAAGCAGTTACTAAGCACAAGTAGTGAAGCACTGTCATTTTTTTTCATTTTTGCATTAAACTAATGCTTCCCAAAATGTGCTTTGGGGATCACACTGGTTCTTGCATGCCTTTACAGCACTTTCAATTAAACATTTTGATAAAGGTTAGTAAGAAGTTTAAAGGGTTGGCACTGGCCTGTTGGTTAAAAGGTCTGGAAACCACTGGATTAAATGACTGGTTGGATAGAAATAGTTCAATACCTGCTCCAGTCTGGGACAGAGAGGCTCTTGAACGGCATTTAGGCACAAAGGGCACCTATATATGTGCCCAACACCTGCTCTGACATGTTCTAATTCAAATGCATCAGAGCAAACTTGATTGAATAAAATGTCCACAGTGTTGCATGTATTCTGTGTCCCCACATTTTGAAATGGTGGCAGGGGCACTTTTAAGTAAACCTCACTCAACGAGCTTTAGTTGAAACGCCCTCACCGCCATTTTGAAGCATAGGACACTGAATACATGAGATGCTGCGGACATTTTAATTAGAGCAGCTCCCAAGACTCCATATGAGATCAAAAACAAGCACTTCCTGAATGGAGTTTTTAAGGGAAAACAGTTAACTGTCAATTGAGTGACCTTACTTTTATATCTTGGTGCTGCATCTCAGCTCTTAACACTTCAGGTTTGTTCGTTTCAAGTACCAGAATTAACAAGAAAACACATCAGGCTAAATCATTTTTAAGGGGAAAGTCAATTACTTAGAGCATACACATTAAATTCAGATTTCCGAATGCTACACCCTCAAGCAAAATAAAGGGGCTTAGCACCAAGAATTTCAGATCCTAAAAGGTCAAACCTCTATGATATTGATGTAAAAGTAATAACATTTTCAAAAGCAAGCAGCAGCTTAAGGTATATCCCCCCCCCGCAACTAAATAAGGACCTGAGAAAGGACACACTAGATAGTGGAATTACCTGTCCCTGAAGTGACAACGAACTGTTGTAGTCCTAGGTATACTTCCAAGTTGTCTTGTAGAACAGGAAACTGAAAAATAAAGGAATACATTAGAGAATTCAGTGTGCAGACAGAAACAATGCTTTTCAACTGCAATTAGTCTGAGCCAGAGAAAAACTACTTCCTGTTTTTTCTTCCTAATAAGTCTTGCAAAACCTATTTGGAGAAAGGATAGCTTTGTATGTTCTGGAGTGATCTGGGGCCCTAGATTTTCATTCCTAGACAGCTCACATCAAACCCATAAAGGTCATTTTGTTAAAGAAATTCCTTCAGTGACAACCGTCCTTTTCATGTTACCAGCAGTACCCAATCTTGACATGAATGGCCACCAGATACTGCAGTAGCAACATAACCTGGGATGCTGTCAGTCCTTACAAGATGAATGACCAGAGCTGTGTGGGGCCCAAAAAAGAATAGGAGGAGGGGCTGCAGATCAGGATCAGGTTGGGTACACAGCTGTGGGGGTGAGAGACTTTCATTGCACCTTTTTACCCCATCAAAATCAGTTTCTCCTCATTAAGATTAAATGCCACTCCTAATATACAAGTCAAAGAAAAAAAAAAGGTTGCCAGTCCTGCTGTTACTGTATTGCAAAGGGACTGAAGAAGTCTTGCAGCTGCTCTGTAACAGCAGTGGGCTGGATCCTCACAGATAAAAGGTTTGAGGGAATGAATGACTTAAGAGGCTGCTTTCCCTCAGAGCATTAAATTAACCTCACAGCGCGCAATCTGTGGCAAACTATTGCTAATTACTAGGAACACTTCAGCTTGGCAACAGGACATGCTAACATGAAGGAGAACGCCAACTCAAATACCAAGTATAGGAAATACCTTGGCTAGCTTCCCAGAAGACCATGGTACTCTAACAGTAATATTATAGGGTTATGTACACTACAGGCATCTAAGTCAAACCTAATGCATTCAGTTAGGACTGCATATTTATTTTTCCTCTAACACATCTACCAGCAAAAGAAGGGGTATAGGTTGTAGCCATGTTGGTCTAAGGACATAGGTAGACAAGGTTCTTTGGGTAAATCCAATACATTTTATTAGACCAACACTACTTTAGTCAGCAAAAGAAGTACACTTTCTACCCCTTCTATTCCAACTTTTACTTGCAAGGACATGTGTTTATAGGCAAAAATCTTTTTCCTGCTATAAATTCTGTCATGGCCCTTGGGGCTGAAGCAATAGTTTTGACTTAGAATCACAGGACTGTAAGGCTGGAAGGGACCTCATGAGGCAGGATCATCTCTGACTAAGGCATCACAGCCTTTGAATTTTATGGGCATTTGGCCCCATATCGCTACTCTTTGCAGGCCTAAGAGCCACTCTAATAGAGTGTGGCCATTCACTCCACACTCAGCACCAGGCATGATATGCAGAACCAAGCAGATTAAAGACAAGAAGTACAGTGGTTCAATGTATTCTGGAGCCAATTTCATTTACCAAGTAGTAGTCAATAGACCCACTGCATGTTTCAGAAGCATTTTACAAACTACTGTAACATGCACATGAGACTCAGTAAGTTTTTCTTGGATTATTTAATGTCCAAGAATTCATTAAGCAAGGCTCGCAGAAAAGGTATTCTGTACTGAGATGGCAGTTCACATAGATAAACCCAATACAGCACACTAGTTTAATCCGAGGGTTAGAATTTGTTCAACCATCTCCCCTTGATCTGAAGTCATGCGTTTTCCACCAAGTCACCCATTTACTTCTTGAATTCACTCTGCACTGACAATGAAGAGATTAGTGAGCAAACCAAACTGAAAGGTGCTGATTCATGCACTATTACTACACTGCAATACATGGATTCATACAGCACAACTTTCAGCGGAATTAGAAATGGTTCTATAATTTTCACAAGCCTTAAAGATGTTCATGGACAAACAGATCTTGGGCTTGTATTAGTCCAGCAATCTCCTTTCAAATGAAATCTCAGTAAGCATAATGATAATACTTTATAAAAAATGAGCTGTTTTCTCTCTTTTCAATCATTGGAGTTTTCAGGGAACATAGTCCAGGCATGTACACATGATCTCTAAGCAAATGCAGTTGCTATGGCTGCAGCTGATCCTAATGAATTCAGATACTTCTTCCAGATAGTGAAAAAAGATGTGGCTGATAATGTCGCTGATAAATGCCATGTGCATAGTTACAGCATGCACACAGCCAGTCTGGCAGCTTGGAGAGCAGCACCTACCTGGTAAGTCTGCTGCAGGAAGGGGTGGGGGGAGTGAAGGGATAGATCGAGGCCCCTGCAGTGAGGGAAAAGTGGGGCTGAGGCTGGGGCAGAGTGTAGGATGGAGCCAAGAGCAGTTTGTCCAGGGGGCATGGGGAGGTGGCTCCTGTTGTTACATGCACCCCTGGGGGAGGTATGGGGGGCACGTGCCCTCGGGTCAGGGTGGTACCAGGTTTTTCCTGGCAGGGGTTGGGCTGGGGCTGTGCTCGGGGTGGACAGCTCTGGCAGCCCTGACTTAACCCTGCCCCTGCTGAGAAGAGCCCAGCGCTGCCCCTGGCCCCAGCTCACAGCAGCAGCCCAGCCTTGCCCCGTGCAGAGATCCAGGGGGCATACACACCCCATGTCTCTCCCAGGGGTATGCACAGCAGTGGGAGCCACCTCCCACCCCCTGTGCCCCCTGGACGAATTGCTTGCGACTCCATCATGCGGCCCGCCCTGGCTGGGCAGCGCCTAACTCCAACCCCACTCCTCCATTACCACAGGGGTCTTGATCTGCCCCACTCCCATGCCTCTTCCCTCCCCTGCCCCACCCCTTGTCCCCCAACGGACTTACCAGCTTGATGCTGCTCTCCAAGCTGCCAGGGTGCACATCAGCAGTTGGACTGGTATCAGCTGATATGGCCCGTTAATAATCAGCCAGCAGTCTTGGCCCAAAAAATCTTTAACTGGTGCACCCCTACACTAAATTTTACTTATCGTTTTGATCTCTGTTTTGGATGTAAAAGCACATCCCTACACTTCTTTTTTGACAGTCTTCTAGAGGCAATGTGCAACAAAACCTAATGGATGGAGCTGACATAAGCTGGTGCAAAGGTACTTAATCTTATCATCGGAAGAGCTACTTACCAGTGTAGAGAAGGCATGAGTTGGCAGGAGCTCCATGACTTTTGCCACTACTTCCAAGCTCTGGCGCAAGTACCGCTGCCATTCAGTCTGCTGCTATGGGAAGAAATGCCAGGATAAGCATGACCTGTGCTTCCCTCTACTCAACCTGGAAAGAGCTAGTCTATGTTAAGTTAGTTTGAGTTAGGGACTGGAAAACTGACTGAAGTGTATCTGCCAGAGCTGGCTACTTGCTAGACATCCAAGAACTCAAAAATTACTGTTTTTAGATTCTCCCACTTTGAAAGCAAATCTGAGAAGGAACAACTAACTGGCTCCATATTGGATCAAGCTTTCATTTTCAATATCTGTTAATGGTATAAAGTAACTGGACAACCATGTCACATGGCACTTCCTGGCCTTTTGAGTAGACTGTGGTCTCTTTTATACTGGCCTTTTGCATAGCGTATAGTTTCTGAACATGGACACACTCCTGTTTGTAAGTACATCATATTAAAATTTGAGAATATGATTAACAGGTCTTAAAGTGCAGCAACTTTATATGGAAGCACCGATATCAACAAAGGCATAAAGAGCCAGATCCTCAAGCAGTATTTAGGCAATAAAAATCAAATTAATGAAAGTCAGATATTTTAACAGAGTTCAAACACATTAACACCTCTGGCAATCTGGGTCTATATATCTGCATTTGTCATGAGATCACAGAATCAGACATCAAAAAGCCTCATTTCTGCTTTACTCTTTCATAGAGTAATCTCTTTTTTTTAAACACCCAGCATGCTGTGCTCCTTTTAACCTCAAAACTCACACTGAACTCTCTCTCACTTTATGCACACAAGAGCTGCCTAAATAGCGTATACTTCTGCACTGCTGCTCTCTAATGCTCGATCTGGAAGGAAGAGAATGCCAATGCATTGTTTAGGCACATATTATTAGTGGCGTACTGGAACTGTTGAGATACAGGAGATAACAGCAGCAAGAAATGAAAGCATTGAAATGAAATAGTTTTCCAGACTCTATGCTGGAAAACAGTCTAGACCCTGGTAGGAAGGTTCCTGGTTTTTCAGTACGACACAGCAGTTTAGTATGAAGACTTGCAGTTTTCCTACCAACCCCCATTCTTACATCATCATCTAAAGTCTCGTCATCCAGCTCCTCCAACTGTGCCTGGTTGTACCTGAATTGTATTCGTTTCAATACCTCTGTCAGCAGCAAAACGAGGGCATCTTCGTACCTGGGACATAGTAAAAAGAAAACCAAAGACTAAGAAAAGTACTCTACTAGAATACTGACCCCTTTCAGTGAAGAGTAGCTACAGCTGAAGGAGCATAAATGTAAAGGTTAGCATAGAAAGAGCCTGCAACACTGCCTTGCAGACATGTTTGCCAGGAAGAGATTAGACAGCTGCTTTTGTCTTACAACTGCAACTGAAAGCCATTCTAGACTGCTACATATGATGAACTGGTCACCCATTCCCTCAGCTGTGAAAGTTGGACAGGAAACAGCTAGCAACAGAAGCAGTAAAAAGCTCCACTGCCAGTGGGAAGAGGCAGCAGGTGTTATGAGAAGGGCAACTGGAATGAATATACTGAAGCACTACCAGGGCAGATTTAAAATGAACACTCTCTAGTGAAAGGACTCAGCTGCCCCTCACTAAATAGAGCTTACATGCCTACTCCTTTTTAGAGGAGTAGTCACAGTGCTCTCTCAAATGCTGCCAAGACTGGTCAAGATCAAGATCCGATTCTTGCCATTAAAGCAAGAGGTGCTGACTATGGTTATTAATACAAAAATATTATGATAGAGCTAGTTAAACTTCACCACCAGTCACAACAGGTTAGACTAAAAAGCCACCCATAAACCACTTACATCTTAGCTTAAACTATAGGAAAGGGCAATTAATAACATTTCTAAAAGAGAAGCACCTAAGTAAGAGGCATGGTTTCTAACAGGCTATTTGCATAAAGGCTATTTGTAGGTTCAGCTACAATGGGAGTCATTTGTGTTCTGCAGTTTTGAATACAGTCCTTGCTCGCAGGAAGGAAGTCAGAATTTTTTCATCATCACTGTCACATTTCAGCCACCCACTTAAAAGATTTAATTTGTTCCCAGAAGCAGCAATGTAGCACGCAAAAGTCAAAACACCTTTTTCCCCGTGATCACCCATGAGTAACGCTAAATTGCAAAATCAGCATGGAGCAACCCAAGGCTGGAATGCAGCCATCACTGGTGACATACAGGGATGTCAATTTACCTGAGATCCAAAAAGTTCCCTACTCTTCCTTTAGAAAACAGCTACTGTGAAGCAAGTTCCAATTATGCATTTCTCTAGGAAAGATCAGATTGGAAAGCTGGCAATCTCTATTAATAATATGGAAAATAAGAACATTGTGCAATATAAATTGCACCATAATCAGCTGTTCCCATGACTGCAACAGCTAGAAGCTTCCAGTGAAGGGCTACTATACGACTGGTTGATTACTGAAAAAAGATGATGCAAGCCTGGATTTGGTAATTTGTACATGTTACACTATTGGACAAGACTCAGAATTTGCAAGCCACAGGGAACAGGAAATTTCATCTACTGTTCCTGTGGTGTAACCACACGTACATTATCATATTAAAACATGTAAACACTTCACATTTTCATGCATATTTGTTGTGGCTTCAGAAACTATAGCTAAAAACAGGTACTTCTGCAAAAATAGCACTACACTTATAGGGGAATTATTCTATTTTTTATGGTCAAAGACAGATACGATAATTTCCAAAGACCAGCTAATACTGCACGAGCTGATTTCTTTCACTACACTGATATCTTTATCCACTTTTATTTTTTAGTCATATGGTTATGTATAGGGTAGGAAAATTGAGCAGCATGCCTCAACATTGTTAGGCAGAATCATGCATTGGCTGAACCTGAATTTAAATGCAAGAAAGCAATTCCCACACTGAAAGGAATAAGTTGGCTGGAAGCTGGCTCTGCACTTGTTCTTGGCACTTTTGATGCCAGGATGCCCTTTGGTAAGCAATTTATTTGTATTTGGCAGGCTCACTGAAAAAAAAAAAGTTTCTTCCTTTTCTTAGTCCAGAGCAAAACATGACAGAAGAGGAAGGGTTTCAAGCCCTGCTCTACTTTCTCCATGCTAAACAGTTAAGATGGTACTAGACATGCCTTTTGGTACTTACAAATTGATGGCAGCAAAACTATCTGCAATGGGGGCTGACTATGTTAAAATGGTAAGTAGACAAGCCTTCAAAAGGAGGAAGAGTTGTCAAAATTTGGTTTATATGAATACTGAATCTAAGGTTCTGCTCAGTTGTGATGGCACTATATTTTGAAATTACAGTGATGAACCTCTCTCTCTCTCAAAAAACCCCAAACAACATTTGCTATCAAGGTGATTTTAAAATCCTAGTTGCAATTAAACCAACTAAGTGTGCCCTGAGATTCTTTTAAGGGTGATGTGGGGCGATGAACAATATTAATACCATTAGGGAAGCAGAAAATCTGATTTTTCATTAATAGTGTTATTCTTTTATTACATTCTTTAGTAATAGCTGGACATTTGACTTCCTTGGCATTTTTGTTTTAGAACATTTAAAAAAATACTAGTTACTTTTTCCTAATTTTTTGCTTTAATGCTCAGGCACCAACATGTTTGTCACAGTGAGTAAATCAGGGTTTTTAAAGCTTTATTTATTATCAGCTTAAGCAAAAGTTTAAACACATCAGTGTCATTTACCTAAGAATGCACACGCCTCACTCAGCCTGGCAGTCTGCGGCATAACTCCTACTGCCAGGCCCTTCTCCCCTGGGAGCTGGAGGGTAGACCACCTTCTCCCTCCAGGACAAAGGAGGACTCTGGGACCTCCCACTCTGTCCAGTCAGGGGCATGGACCAAGGTGGTC